TAGGGTTATTAACAGTAGCACTAGTCAGAACCCCTTGCAGTGATTCTGTTCTACACAGATGTAGCTCAAGAATTCGCCTTGTGAAGCTGCTCTCTGATTGGTTACTTTGGTATTCAACGGGATTGATTAATTTATCACACTCACATCGCGGTCTGACAGAAACAAACGACTGTACGATTCTGAAAGGCACGAAGAACACTCGGTAAACTAACCTCTTCGTATCGCTTGTTGACCATGTACAAATGCCATACACTTCGTTTAGCCAGGATACGAATGAAAGTGCCTTCGTCCGTGCCAACTCGTCTGGAAATGCATTCAATGGAGGGACAGATGACAGACTGTTAACTGAATGTGAGCAAATACTAATTCAGTTGTGCAAGTGTTTCACTTTATTACGGTTTTATTATCAGTTATACTATTACCATTAATACTATCATTACCAGTGTTCTTTTTTATAAATCTAATCAAAGTTCCCCACGCACACATTGCGAATGAGAGCGGGAGAGAACACCCTATGCCTTTTTGGCATGCAGTGTGGTTTCGATGTTCTTGAAAAATCTTGCACCAACTACTGGAAATAACAGCATTGCCAGTTTCAGGTAACTCATATTTTTTAAACTTTACATGCAAATCCATAGTCTAGATGATTAATCGGGTAGCGTTACTCCGTAGTGCTGGTGCACCTGTTTTTACTGATCCCGTTGGTTTGTGTTTTCATTTGTGTTATATGTTTTTTAAGTTCATTTCAAATGTCATCTGCAAGAATGTCAGCACAGTGCTCGTCAGCGGTCCTCAGTAGAGAACTAGAACAGTGATGACTGATACGGTCAGAAATGACAGACCTAAGTGATTGACCACGGGTATTAGTGGATCGAATCCATGCCTCTTCTCATGAGTGTATTTTTTAGCGAACTGATGATAAGCCACATGCCAGCTAAATCTTGGAATACCTCTACCCGTTGAACATTATGCAGTCAAATTTGTTTCTCATTTATTCCAATCATTGTGTTCAATTTTATTCCTCTGCAGGGATCAGGTCAAACTGCGGAAGACAGTAATGGAAGGTTGCAAATGTGTGAAAAACACCACTAGTCACTACACTTTCGAGCAACTTACCCGGTGCCCGCATCGTACAGATCTTCGATATCTTTTTGCACCTTATTCATATCGACCACGCTGCGAACACCTTTTTGGATAACTTGTTCCACCTGTTCCTCAGTTAGTTCATCCCGATCACCCTGGAGCAGTGCGATACACAAGTTTCGCAGGCAGCCACTCAAATCGTCATTGATGTCGGATTCTAATGTCCTTGAAGCATCTGGAATGTATATAAATATTGTTAGCAGGACATCCAGTATGAGTGCCATTACTAAACAAAACTTTGAACATGGTTTGGTCAACTCTGTTTCACCCTGCAATATGCTGTCCACTGAAACTATAATTCCTCCTTACTTCTTGAACTACTCATGAGTAGCCAAAAACTAACGTTTATTTTTGAGAGGAATTGGCATTCCGTCGTAGAGTGTATATGTGAAACGAACTCTTGGAACTGGTGCAGATATTCCCGCGGTGAAGTATCATTCTTACCGGCCTTCACAACAGTGCTCATAAAATATTAAAACTCCGGTTAGAAACATTTACAGGACACAAAATTATTGATAAACACCAGGTTTATGGAGATTATGTACATTTGGGATAGTTCAACCAGAACCACAAAAATAAAAAAACAACTCGCATCCAAATAGATGAAGTGCTATTATGACAAAAGGGTCAATGTTAGGTTATGTTAACTGTTGTTCGAATATTACAACAACCATAAGGATTCCCCAACCTGAAGTAAGCATACAATTTCCTTTGTGATTTGTCGCATGATTGGGGATCGGAAATCGTTGAACATAGCCTATAAAAAGCCATTGCTGAGCCGTTTTGCAATACCAGATTAAAAATTATGTGGAAGATCATTTGTTTAAAAATTTGAGAAAAATTGACCTATTTGACAAATATTGTTATTATTTTGTGTTTCACATTATTCACTTCCAGTATATTTGCAGCAAACTTCGAAATTGGATGCAGAAAAACTACAAGACATTGCTCTGACAACCAATTCTACAACACTTAATGAATACAGGACACATGACTGACTTAAACACAGCGTTCACATCTCCCTTCACAGTGTAGGAAGTGGATTTTGTCTCATTCGGACCAAATTAAACGCAAACTAAAATCCGAGAAGGCGGAAAATGAGAAATAACGATCTGATGAGTTACCCGGGGGTTAAAGCAGTAGCATGCTTGCATCTAGGCGCTGTGAAGCCCCAGGTTCGATTTTCAGTTGGGTCGATGGATTTACACACTACTGATGAGACCCAATTAGGACAAGAAAACTGTTCAGTGATTCGCAGATTTGTGGTTTGCGCTTCTTTTCCTCTGTACACAACGAAATTCACGGAATAATTGAATCAAATCTTTCACCACTCTCGTTAGAAATAGAAGTTTACCGGTTGGAAATAAAAGAAACTATCCGGTTCTTGAGCAACTCACTTTTGGCTCCCTCATTGGTGAGAACTAAAATGAAGGGGGGAAATAACAAAAGAATTGATGAATTGGTTCTGATTGCGTGAGTCCTGTGCAGAACGTGCAGTGATATGAAATTTTAAAAGCGAAATGACGCGGAAATATGCATGTCACATTTTTCCCGGAGAGGTCAATAATGTTGATGACTAGGGAGCGAGCAACTCAGAGAACTGCGCAGTTGTTTGTTATTATATCACGCAAAAATGATTGAGCACACATCCAATGTGCTCTGAGCAATTCAACGAAAGTGATCGGTTTTGCGGATCTAGATACCAGGTGGAACATATATCATGCGTGCTTTTACAACTAGTACAGTTCAGCCTTTAGTGTACATAAATTAAAACCGAACCAAGTCTTTCGGGGGGGGGGAGAGAGGAAACCTTTCAGAAGCTCCCGTTTCGTCCTCGAGAACGAAGTGCACTCCGATCATGAAACCCCGAAGGAACCTCGAAACTTGAGGCCTAACCGATTGAGCGTTGTTTGTCTATTTGAATACAATAAATTCACCAAAACGACATGAAGCTCAAACTGACAAATAACAGATCGAATAAGTAAGCGTTATCTGGGAAAATGAACTGCAACATTTCCTCTATCCCCCCTACACCCATAATCGTAACAAGGGTGTGAGGGTAATGGATGAGAGCGAAACCACTTGGGCAATCGATTTTCATGTCCTTCGGAATATTCTCCGTGTCTTTGATGTTAGTCAATTAATTAACTCTCACTCTTGACTACAAGAAGCTGATGTGTGCAGCCATGGTCATGTCCCGAGTGATTAATTGATGTAAAAGAGAAAAAAGGTTGGGGATAACGACTGACTAAGACCCGTGATGACGTAACAGTTATTCACTAATAGGCAATCAAGGTCTACCCCATGGTCTAATGCCTACAAATAAAATCTGCCCAAGCAACACGAGCGCATGAATCACTGAGTAATATCTACATCCACATCGAATGGTGAATGTGCCTGTAGGGAATATTCGAAACATCCACCTTCTTGGTTGTGGCAGTGAACCGATCGGAGTAAATATCTAGGTGTGACTGCTGACTCCTGGGTCGGGTTTGGCCATTCCGAGGCTCCGGTTATGCCTTCCCGAAGAAAATTCACCTGCTTTGGCCTGACCAAACTGGTAGCATTCCGCCCACTAGCAAATCATAAACCAATTTCTTCATCATGAGGATCGACGTAATCAGCTGTAATATATGCATTATTATCCTATTTTGACCGACGGTAGTGATAATATTTCACGTACAAAGTAGATAATTCAGTGCGTCATCATAATCAAAAAGTTTCAAAACATCCCCATTGAATCGTTGTTCCCGTCTAATTGGTCATAATGAGTGTATACTGTTGAGATACAAGGCTCCAGAGGAATAACTCATTCACGACAATGTCCAGTGACAAAATGCAGTAGACATAGAAATGGACAAACTGCATTAGAATGAGAGTCGGTAATGGACGAAAACGCAACGATTAGTGTAAAAAAAGGTCTGGATACGGACACAGCTGAGAGTCACCGATCTACGAGGTACAGTCTGTGCTCTCGGTTCCTCGCATTAGCTTACGCTATAGAAATATTTCTGGGGGTGAAAAAGCGAAGCAGATTCTCCATTACTTTGCATTATCAGTCGGGGAATCGATAACAAAAAGATGTGTGAAAAGTCACAGTCGAGCTATTTTCCCCCACTTTTTGCTGCAATGCGAACGGAAAACATTCAGATCTGGCAGCGTAGGTTGAAGGATAAAATTTGGATTTGGTCAGAAACGTTTTAAGTACTTGCAGATGAAAAGACACACGTATATATGATGCAGAATACCTGGGACTGTCTGTCTGTCTGTCTGTCTGTCTGTCTGTCTGTCTGCCTGTCTGTGTCTGATGGAATCATCATCGCTTGCTTCTCAGGCTGCGTTCGTCCACTACTAGGTGCAAAATTTTCCCTGACAACCAATTTTGTTCTTTGCTACGCCCCATCGATCGTAATAGTTCCTTTAGTCAGGTTTCTTTCTTTTTCATAAATCTCGTTCTTTTGAAGAAAAACACAAGAATGTGCATTTTGTGAACTCCTACTGTATTTTTTGGTTTTATTTCAACCTAAGACATTTCTCAAGAGTTTAAAATGAACACACAAAAAAATTATTTTGGGGCACTGGAAAATCGGAATATACCAATGACTAGATGGTAAACTATGAAAATTTAACGGATCAGGTTGCGATTGCAAATCGATCGATCGATTGTCCGCGACCTGCAATTGCATTAAATAACCTTTCAAAAGGGATATTTTGTGGGAATTTTTTATTACAGTTCTGTCGCTGAACAACGAAGAAGAGTACAGTGATAATGGAACACACAGAATCGGCATTTGCGTAAGGCTGAAAGAGTACTACCTAAATCGATGATTAATGTGAGAAGTTCTGCCAGTGATCAATTGAGCTCTATGAACCACTATGTAGAAATTATCACCGATACACAGTCTTCCTTGAAGCATTCCGCAAAATCAATTCCCGAACCCTTTCCTACCCCCAACTTTAATGACAATACAGCTGAGTTAATCCAAGAAGAAAATCAGATTATTAATATCTATAAAGTGTAGTAGGATTCTTGGAAAACCACTGTAGCAAAATGGACGAATCAGGAGTTGTGAATCGGAATAAACTGTTAAAAATGCATCTCTATCGGTTTATTACATGCCTGCGCTGAAGAACTTTTACCGAGATGAGATCCTGTTAAGGAATGATTTAACGTCAAAAGAAACCCTAGGGTTTTCCATTACGTTTGAGAATGTGCCACCTGAGAGACAGGAATCAAACCGCCAGTGACTTAAATCAGTTTAACTTCATGCTGTACCAAGCTAGCATAATTTTTTATAAGCCACCTTTTCGAGGTTCTTTACGGTCGGAACCAGATGAAACTCGTGTGAACCAAATCGCTGACCACGAAGACCAGCTATGTGTTTCTTGAAAGCTTGCTATTGTGTCTAATCCATTTCTGTGTACATTGTCTATTGAGTCAGAAAATCAACGAGTAACGAGCGTTGGATGCACACATTATGCATTTTGAAAGCAAAACTTACAGAACAGTCTTCAGCTTATTCATCCATAACTTTCTTCGTCTAATAATGACTATGGTTTTCATTTTCTAATGAAACATGGTCTTTTATTAAATTTTATGAAGAAAAGATGTGTCTGGTTTTTTATAATTCCTTGCTACATCAAAAATCCAAAGCCACTTTTGAGTTTTTATACCAGAGTTTCCACATTGTTTGTAGCAAGCAGATGCAGTCTACTTGAGTCAGCTAATTTTGTTCGTGTTTTGTACAACACACGTATCGGAATAAACAGAGCCAGAGAATTGGATAAATAGGAGTTAATTCCCGCTTAAAATATGGCAATCCAAACCAAATTCAACCATTTGGATCAATAAACTTGATCGATCATTGTCAAGTAATTGGTGCGATGACCAACAAACAGCACTGAACAGCTGTGCGTTCTTGTTGGGAACACATCGGCAGTGCGTACTATTTTCACGTTCCCCCGTCGAGATTGTTCGTTATGAATTCACTTTGACGAAAGACAATAAAAGAACTCGCCACTGAAGAAATCTCAGCAACAAAACAACAAATCTTTTTTCATACTCACATTGACTGACCAATATGATTTGGACGGTTTCAATTAATGAATTTTGAACCCAGGTTTTTGTATATTGTTGAAATAAAGATACAGAATAACAAATAGTGGACCGATAAAGTCGGAGTCCCGAAGCTTGATCTGGCAATAAATTGTCATATTTTACGAATGAATGAATATGTTAGTTCCCTTATACTTTGTATCAATTGAGTTGTTTTGTGCGTTTTGTTTTGAATATAGGGCAATAAAACAATGAGATTTGCTTATTCTTCTGGTGAACATGGGACCTAAATTTAGTGTAAACGTTTCCGAATCTACTTATTCAATTCCTGGGAAGTATTTTAGCTAGTGACTCATCCAAAACTATAGCGCTGACTAATTTCAAATAGAAGAAGCTGTGTTTTCTAGTTTAACTGTGATGAAATTACCAATTACAAACCATAAATTGAATGAATCTCACAT